GGAGGCAGTTTGGAAGGCTGTAGTTCTTCTACATCAGCTGGGAAGGGTGTTGTATCTTCTTTGGCTACTAGAAGGAATGTAGTATCTTCCCTTCAGTGGGAATGGAGGGTGGTGTCTTCATCATAGGGAGTGGGAGTAACACTCTTCCCGGGTGTCAGAAGGATAGTAGTGTACTCATCCTGAAGGAAGGTAGGCTGTGTGGCATCTTCAGCAGGTCCTTGGTTGAAGTTGATACTCCATGTGTAGTATTACTGCTTGCATTTTGCGACGATCATCTTCTCCCTCTGAATCAGGGACACCACAGGATCTACAGGGTCGCTGCTGCTGCTCAAGACCTCAGGGTGTACATCAGGGATGGTGTACAATGAGGAATCTATCTCCAGGCTACCTTCATGGAGTTTTAGCTGAACATCATCTTGCTCTGGCACTTCAGTCACATCTCTCGTGCCAGTCTCGAATGCAGTCACAGCTTCCTCTGTTACAAAGGCTGTCTCAGGAGCTTCATAGAGTTTGTGGAATCTGGTGGATGATACTCACTTCTGGTTCTTGAAAGTCTCCTTCCCCACTGAAATTACAGGACTTTCATGGCGGATGTCTACCTGGAAACCTCGTTTGTTCACTGTCTTCAGGGGCCACTGTTGTCTGATTATCACTCCCTCCATAGATCTCTCTTCTGATGATTCATTGGAATATCTTCCTCTTCAACAAGGCCTGTAGAATCCTGGACCATGCGTGCTGTCAAACTTTTCAACACTTAGATCCTGAGTAAAGGGTGGAGTCTGTGGAGAGACTTCATCTACAATTCCATAGCTATATTCCTGGTCTGGCTTGGACATGAAATGCTGTTGCACAAAGGCTGGACAGCCTCAGGGACAGTCATGTTCCAAGTCAGTTGGAAGAAACAGTTGTCTCATCTTTTCTTGCAGACCATAAAACGAAGTCACAGCTTGATTGAAATAATCTTCTGTGTATTCCTTTTGTGCGACTTCAGGCTGACTTGAAGTTTCTTGTTCTCCCATATAACTGGAGGAAGATCTGTCTGAGCCGCACCAAATGTACCTTGGGCTGCTACTTCAGCAGGAGCTTCAAATACTTCAGATGGTATTTCAATGATGAATGTTATGGTACTCGTTGGGGAATATTTGGCACATCAGAAGTTTCGATTCCATAGCCATGAACTTCCTCTTCTGAACAGGGAAGCCCTCGCCTGGAACAGGGAAGCCTGTAGATTCATCATCTAGCTGTTCAGGGAAGACAGTCGTTACAGAGAAATGTCCATTTCCATCATCAACTGGGAGAATTCAATTGTGTGGACGGAGAAATGCTCTTCTCTTTCGGTGGGAAATGTTCTCCAGTGGGAGTGAAGATCTGTTCATGTCCATAAGCAGGGATGTATTCTTCGTTGTAAACAGGATTCTGTTCTCCAGTATACGACTGTACATCGGAAGCCTCCTCTTCTAGGGTAGGGAATTGTTCTTCGAAATTTTCCACAAATTGTTCTTCATCCTGAGAGGAACAGCTGGGGTAGTGGGTTCTTCCTCTACCTGGATTGTATTTCCTTCTTCCTGGTTGACAGCAAATTGGCCTTCACCTTGCACAGGAGACCCTTCCTCTGACGGCATGGAACACGAATTCGCCACTGAAGGGGGTAGATTTGTTCATTGCCTGTTCGAGCCTCCACGGCTGAAGCAAGGTATTCGTTCTGGAGAGGGACGTACTCTTGTACTTTCGCATGGTACTCGCCTTCCTGGCTAAGATGCTGCTCCTCCTCTTGAATGGAGAGTTGATCTCCGCCTTGTTCCCCAAGCTGGATGGGACTCTCTTCTTCAGTAATAGCAGTCTGAGTGGTGACCTGCTCTTCTTCTTGAGCTGGGAACTGTATTTCTCCAGATCCGAGTCTTCTTGCAAGCTAGAGACCGGTTCCTGGGTTAAGATCTGTCCTGTGCCTTGTTCATCAAAGACTGCTCTCCTTGAATGGCAGCCTGCTGTTCATCAGTCTGAACTGGGAACAGTCCCTGGGCAATCAATTGCTCATCATTTTGATGCAGTTGGTTCTCTTGTGTGGGAGGCATCTTCTCTTCTTAATAGAAGTTACTATTTGAGAAATATGGACGATGGTCTCGGGTGTGTCATCATACCTTGGCGCAGCCGAGAGTTCTGGGGATGCGATTTCATTTTTAACTTCACTGTCCCTTACCTGGTGATCTTGTACAATGGCCTTGTTGTCATAACTGAGCTGTGATATTCAGGGACGATAAGACCTTGATTTTCTTCTTCGGCGCGACCTTCAGTAGCATGAGGCTCCTGGGGAAGGTTGTGCTCAGAGACAGACTCTCCTGTGTTAGCGGTGGAAACGTCATATAGTTGAGACACTCCCTCACTCGGCCTGGCTACGCAGTCTGCAGATCCCTGGCCACATGCTGCTGGTTTCTCAAGGGCAGCATCGAGTTTATTTTGTGCTTCCTGTGAAGTGCTGGGTGTATTCTGCGTGTCCTTGTGATCAGGTAGCAACTGGTTAATAACTTGTCGAATTGTCGAGTCTTCAATCTCAGCAGTAATGGTTCCTGAGGAAATTTTTGGACATTGTGGATGGTATTTTTCCTGAGGAACTTGGCTAATAAGAACTTCTTGGGTTGCTGTACGGAAACGGTGCCAGATTCCTGGGAACTGGCTGGATAACTTGGAGAATACACTTCATCACGAGTGGGGATCTGATCTGGCAGAAGAAATTGGACGCTCTTCCTCTTGGGTTTCCTGGACGGCCTGGCCTCCCTGAACCTGCTGGATTTCTGGCTGGAATTGCTCAGTCTGTTGGACTTGTTGAGTTCCCTGGGGCTGCTCCGTCTTTGGCCAAACCTTCTCCAATAACCTGAGTTCCTTGCGTCTCAGCAGCAGAGCCGATGTTGTTGTTCAGGTCAAAGAATCCCTCAGAGTCTTCGCAGTTGACGGTAAACCACCACTTGCAAGTGAAGTGCTGCTGGTCGAAAATGGTGGCCGTTGGGGCAGAGGAAGCCTTGGCCGCCGCGGGCGTTGCAGATGTGGAACACCTGGCACCTGGTTTCAGTGTCAGCATAGTAGCCTGCGGGACGAATGTAAGTTCTATAACGAATGTATGGCAGTGGGATATTTTTTAAAAATCATAACTTTTATAAAGTAAAATTTGGCTCTTGGATATACAGACTGCATCAAAGCTTAAGAAGACGTAAGCACTGCAGTCATTATACAAGCACAATATCTGAGTAGTCCTATATACAAGTGCAATACAAAGCCCTGTATAACAAAGACTACAAAGCAGCATTCTTAACCCACCTGGCTGTCGGCCACGGCAGCGGAAGGAAGTCTTCGGGACTTGTCCGAAGATTGGGTAATCGACGCCGGGCTCGCCAGGCACGGAGTCGCGCAGCCAGTCTAGTCCCACGTGGTCGTGGTGGTCGTGGTGGTGGTGCTTCGTCGTCATGCACGAAGGTTCGATGATTCCTGGAGAGATTGTAGCCTTTTTTATAATCGATTGTATATGCTTGCATTTATCACTATATTCATAAATGTTCATGTTTGTCATAAAATACCAATTTTTGAAAACTAATATGTTCTTTAAATTTTATAATAGATTTACAAAGATTATATTTACACGAGAAAGGAATGAAAGACCACAAGGAGCAGACCAGTGATAGAAAAAGGTCGACGGAGGAAAAAGCGCAAAGATATGATCACGTGACAAGGTGGAGCAGGAGAAACCCAACTGAGGAATTCGGAAAAGGAAGGCAACAGTGCAGGGAAAAGACTGTGGGAAGAAAAAAAAAGGATAATTTCAGCACTCACCGGCAGAACCACTTGTTCCTGAAGGGTGGCTTCCACAGCCCTCAAAGGTTCGACGAGGGAAGGGGCACTTTCCTGTTGGGAGCTGTAGCCCTTCTGCGGCGCCGCCACCACCGTCGCCGCCGCCAGCGTCACTGTTGTAAAAGGGAGAGGTGGAGATCAATAAAAGAGTAGACGCTCATATGCCTCTGCCATGGCCTGCCCCAAGACGCTTCAGATGATTTTTGCGTTATAGCATTTTTGGTGTTTGATATGTGTTGTTTGGTTTAGTCTTCGTCACGATAAGCTACGACTGTCGATAAACATAAAATCATAGACTGAAACTTACAGCTTAGAATTTTGAGAATCTCAGAAAATTACGTTATCGAACTTAGCGTAACTATCAACAGTATTTTTAGAGTAAAACCCAAGTAATAGGTCACATTATCATTTTACATCTCCGTCATGCAGTGAAAGCATAAAGCGTATTATCGTAAAATCAAACTTGTCTCGTCACTGTCGTTCTATCGTCAGGTAATTCTCGTTGTTCTAATAACTCCACAAACCCGAACAGCGCCACACGAAATCGCCATCAGCATCAACCCTCCTGTGAGAGCCGCTGAGCCCGCACTCCACTCACCCACATGAACACTGACACCAACATGTTGTCGACTGGCCCCACCTGCCCAGCCGTCCGCTTTTATGGCGCGCTGCTCTAGGCTCCGCCCACCGGTGTCCCGTGCCGCTAGGTCCTGGCTCCTCCTCCAGGTAGGTTTCCGAAGGGAGGTCACATACCCTTGGGCGCGATGACGTACCGTGGCGCCAGCGTCGGCCTCGTCCGAGAAAGCGTATTTGCAGAAACCGACGTGCACGGAGTCGGCGGCGACGACTTCGAGCTTCGCAGTCCTTTTGGTCTTACAAATTGGGAATCCAGTCTGCGCGGCATCTTTCTCCGGTATCATTAGGGGAGTTATTATATATCTATCAATCAGTCTCTCAATCTATATCTGTATCTATATATATGTATATATACGTATATGTACATATTTAACACACACACACACAACACACACACACAACACACACACAAACACACACACTATATATATATCTATATATATATAATATATATATATATATATTATATAATATATATATATATATATATGTATATATATATGTTTGTATGTATGTATGTATGTACA